ACATATCAATCTGACAGAAATATCCGACAACTGGTTGTTGGCTGAACAGCAAAGAGACGAAGAAAATTCTTCTATTATCTCTAAATTGCGTAATGATTAATTGCCCGAGAATTTGGCCAAAACTTACGAAATACGGTCTGGAACTCTATACCGAAAAGTTCAAAGAAATGGAAAGACTCGATGTCTGCCCATAATCCCAAAACAGTTTCGGTGGTCCGCTGTAAACAACGTACACGAGTCAATTATGCATCTCGGGTGGGAGAAAACTCTTGAGAAAATTTACGAGTTCTATTGGTTCGATGAAATGTCTAAATATATTCGCCAATTTGTGGACAACTGTAGATTGTAGATTTTCCTAACCTCCGTCTGGCTAAAATACAATCCGAACTCCATCCCATTCCTAAAATCGACATCCCGTGGCATACGATTCATGTGGATATTACAGGTAAACTTAGCGGAAAAAGCGACCAGACGGAGTATATAAATTTGACGCATTTACCAAATTTGTCTACCTCTCCCATACTATGAAGTTAGACACTGATAGTTGCATTAAGGCAGTGAGATCTGTTATATCATTATTCGGTGTCCCCTCCCGACTTATCGCTGATCAAGGTCGTAGTTTTGCTAGTTCAGCATTCCGTGATTTCTGCTCAGCACAGAAAATAGATTTATATTTAATTGCCACAGGTGCTAGTCGTGCCAATGGCCAAGTGAAGCGAGTCATGAGTACTCTAAAGTCCATGCTGACCGCAGTTGAAACTGGACCGGGATCTTGGCAGGATTATTTAGATGAGATTCAGCTGGCTCTTAATTGCACCCCAACAGAGTTACTAAAGTCAGTCCATTAAAGATATTTATCAGATACTTACAGACCAAACTAGATCCTAAGTTTAAAGGTCCATTTGTAGTAGCCGAAGTATTACCAGGAGATCGATATAAACTTAAAGCATTAAATAAAAACTTTAAAAACTTATAAATATTCCATTAAATATTAAATATCCAGATTACCACAGTGTTTGAAGATGAAAGCGCAGAAGACGCCAGTGTGGTTCGCCATTTTGTTGCAGTTAAGTTTAAATTTGGTAACGGTTGGTGGTGTGAGTTAGTTGGCCGGTTTATAGACTGCGTCAACTGGGTGTCACGTATGTTGGCCGGATTGACGAGTTGTAAGCTGTGAGATAGGCTAACAAAAGATGGACTGGCCGGTTTAAAAAACTGTGTGCTAGTAGAAAAATGTATGAAAATCAAGAACTTTAACGATTTATGTGTGAAGAAGATAAAATTATGATTGTTTGATTGAAAGTTAATGGTAATCCGGATCTCATGGCTTAAATGTAAGAAATGAAATGTTTTTATTATTTGTATTGGTTTGCTTTAAAGTAATAAAGAATGAAGAATAACTTTATATTTTGAGAAAAAAGAAAGAGAATAAGTCTTTAAAACGTTCTGTTTAATTTTTGTTCGAAAAGAAAAAAAATGCAACTTTTGATGCACGGCAGACAACCGTGAGAGTTTCTGCCGAGCGTAGTCTGGTCGCGGGTATGAGCGGGGGGAAGTAGAAGTCTGCACGAAAACGAGAAGCATACAGAAAAATGCAGTGTGCATTAGTATTGGTGTATGCGGACTGGAATAAGTCTCCAAAATGTGTTGGTATTGCATGTAGAGTTAAGAACTACGCATAATTCTGATTTTGTGAAAAGAGATTGGGTCAGTCAGTTTTCGATCATAAAGCATAACAGACATGCCTCGCTCACGCGTCAGAAAACGTCGCGCAGATAACAACGAGAGTAGTGAAGAAGAAGAAGGGCTTCCTGATGACTCTTCGACATGTGTATATGAGTTTTATACTAGTGAATGTTGTTTAAAATTATGTTATGTGTAGTTGGGGAGTTGTGGGTGTAGAATGAGTATGTTAATTCCCCATCCTTAAGAAAAAAGCCTGTCCTCAGGCCCATATTTTAGGGTTCAATACAAGGGTATTTACTGAGGGTACACCATTTTCTGTTTCAGGGCTTATAATAGTTTCGTTTTTTGGGGTTTGATTTTTTAATTTTCCAATATACTTTTGGGGTATAGTTTTATATTTATAAATGAAATACAATTCTACATGTATAACTTTTATATTATAATTATTGATGTGTTATTATTTGAAAGACATTATTCGACTGATTGTGTTGTTCAATTATCTCTTTTGTGATATTGTATTCGAGTAGTTCAAGTTTTTTTACGTTATTGTTAACATAGATAGTTTGAGTGTAATCTAACATTGTGTTGGTAAATAATATATCTTCTAATTGAACGGAACAATTGAATGTTTTTATCATGTTGTTACCTTCTATTATAATTTCTCTATTGATACAATTTTGGCTTAAGATATTCTTGGAAAGAATCCAAGTTGTTAGTATATTAGGCTCTACATATTTCACTTGAAAATAAGAATGTGTTTTATTGTATCTACATTGTGTTGAGATCTGGTTTAGTATGCCTGTTACATATTTATTTATGACCATGCTTTGGGAACTTGCTGTGTAAGTTTCATTATTGTGTAAAAAATATTTGTCATGTATTGTTTCAGTTAGTATGTTACTATTTTCGTCTGGGTATGGTATTATTACAAAAACTGGTGTTTTAATTATTTCTCTCGGAATGTGGGATATTATCAGAATTTCGTTCGTATCAGATTTAAGCCAAGCAGAAGTTTTGATATTAAGAATTTTATTCAGAATTGACGTGAGTTAATGAATCGTGTTTTAAAAGTTTTGGGTTAAAGATACCTAAGCGTGTCCGTTGCAAACCAAGTTCTATGTCTTCTATGTATTCAATGAATTGTTGTATGTTGAAAATTATTAAAGCTTACATTTGCTCTCCTTCAAAGTTATTAATAGTTGTGAAGTATTGACAATAGGGAATTTGTCCTCAATGGTTATCTTATTGAGGCTACGACTAATATAAATTTTGGTCTTCCAGAAGCATCGCCTTCCTTTGGTTCAATCCAAATTGAAGAACAATAGGGGGACTTAGATATCCTAATTATTTTTTGTTCTATCATTTCATTAATTTGCTTGTTAACTTCTTGATCAAACGCTTGGGGGTATTTAAATCGATTTGTAGGGTCTTCGTGTTTTGTATGAATAGAGTGTTTAATCGTACTTGTGAAGGTCAAATTTTCACCTTCTTTGTATTGAATATCACTGCAAAACGTGTGATGGTTGTTCCCATTCTTCCGTATTTAGATGTTCTAATCTGAATACGTTAGATTCTCTTCACTCGTCGTCTAAAGCATATTTAGAGGATGTTACTAGGAGGACTTCTTTTATGTAAGGGGTAATAAGACTTTGGACACTCATAGGTAGTCTGGGACTCTTCTGGATTAGATGGTTTGGGACACTAATTTGTAACCTTTGACTCATCTGGTTTTAAGTGGGGCTTCCGCTTAATTTTACGGAGGGTTTTCTCTTTTTTTGGGGTATGTAGAGGGGTTTCCTATAGGTTAGATGACTTGCGGTACTCATTGGTAACCATTGAGTCATCTGTTTGGATGTGATCGTACCACATTTTGAATGGATATTTTAGAAAATTTGATTGGGAAATTAAAGAATTTTGTTTTATAATATAAATAGAGGAACCAGTATCTACTAGGTATTTGTTCAATTTAATTTTCAAGAACGGATTACCTCTCCCTCTGGATCGCTCTTCCTCTGGAATAAAAACTACAATAACATAAAAAAAAAAAATGTCCATGGACAACACTCGTGCCTCCGGAGATTTTCTTTTCGCATGGGCAACGGTTGAAATAAATTTCCACACTATCTGCTGCCTCATAAATTCATTTTGTAACAACGTTGGGCAACTCTTTGGCCCTGGTGTCTTCAGAAAACTTAATTTGAAATTGTACTCCCATCTGGACAGACAAGCCGTCATTTGCTTGGAAAGCTAAAGATAATTCCGAAGATCAGACTAGATGACTTCGAAATTTTAAAAAAATTAAGAATTCAAAAACTAACCATACTATCAGACAATGAGGTCTACAAATTGTGGTCCATAGAAACTAGTTAATTGGACAAAGCTTTAATATTCGAAGTAAAAATTCTTTTTATACCAGCTACTGCCCTTACCATTTAACAATACTGAAATTGTAGTGTTACCTTAATTTATTAATAAAAATAACATAGAGATAAGAGCATTAAAATTACAATGTATTAGACTTAACAAAACATTTATTTGCGAAACCCCTTCGACCCTGAAAATCCCAGAGTTTCTCCATAATCTACACGAAGATACAACGCAACGTGCATCACGGTGGAAAGTATGCCACAACAGCGGGTTTTCATCCAAACTGAAGGACTACTGCTCATATTGAAAAAAAAGTAATAAAAAGTAATACCTGCAATAGAGCAGCTCAACCTTCAGGAACTACATTTAAACACACTAAAAAATTGCTGGGCTCTAACAACTCATCTGGTGTACTAATCTCCATTTCCACCGTGATAGTCATCGCCGCCTGGACCCTGAAGACGAATACAACTGTCTTCCCCACCACGTACTTGGCTACTACCGCTACTCCTGCCATACCTTCGTTATGGCCGTCGTTCCGTCTTGAGGGATTACGGATTACAGGACTGCGGCAAGCGGAGGAAATGCTGACGGATGCATGTAGCCCGTCAGAAACAGTCTCCTTCAAGCGGGGGTAAAAACGACAACGAAGGGGTTTCGAAACCATAGTTGTACCAGACCAGAATGTTAAATACTACACATATAATATATTTGTCACTTTACTTTTGACTTCAGAAGAGAAGTCTTTAAATTCAGAAAAAATTAAACCAAAGTGAACCAAACCTACTTTGATTGGATAAACTATAAAACTCCATCTAAACAAGGCGTTGACTCGCGCACATAAAAAAACATAGTAGCAAGTATTCGAATAAGGTTATTAGTGTATAAAATTAAAATAATTGTTAATATAGAAGGCTTAAAATTCATCGATTCTTTTTCAGCAATGGACGTCCTGGTTCAGAATCAGTTTCTGAGAAATTTAAAATCGACTGGGGTACATACATGTCATCAAGAAATGATGTTGTGTATATTCGCCTAGATGTACGAGGGTCCAAGGGCCAAAGCAAAAAAACACTATATCGTCATTTAGGAGGAGTAGAAGTTTTAGATCAAATTTCTGTGCTTGGGTGAGTACTTTTGAATTATAATTCTTAAAATATATGTATAAAGTATACTATTTTAGGTATTTGCTGGACACTATAGGTTTTTTAGATGAAACTAGAGTAGGTATGTGGGGGTGGGGCTATGGAGGTTATGTAACCTCAATGGCTCTCGGTACGCAACAAGACGTATTTAAATGTGGAATCGCAGTTTCTCCCACTGCAGATTGGTTATATTCAAGTAAGTACTAAAGATAATAATATAAGAGTAAAATTTAAAATGCAACATCTGTAATTTTACAAAAACCTGATTAAATTATCTATAACTCCCTGTCAATAGATTCGGCGTTTACTGAGCGTATATTAGGCCTGCCTGCTGAAAATTTTAAAGGCTATGTTGAGGCAGATGCAACTCAAAGGGCACGTCTAATTAAATCCAATTCATATTTTTTGATTCATGGCCTGGCAGATACCACAGCTCCCTTTGTCCATGGAGTGCAATTAGCGAAATCCCTAACAAGCGCCAATGTTCTCTTTCGATATCAGGTAAAAAAAGAAAATGTAAGTACAATATACTGACAATATATTTTTCAGACTTATGCAGATGAAGGCCACGACTTAAGTGGTGTACTCGAACATGTATATTCTTCTATGGAGCAATATTTTGCAGAATGCTTAAGCTTGGACCCGGATGATACAAAACCAGAAGTTGATAAAAGCATAGTCCCAGCTGAATAAAAAAAGTTTAATTTGACGATCATGTAAATAAATTCGCAATAAACATTTTTGCTTTAAATAATTAATTACGAATATTTACTGTTTAAATAACAGTCCATGAAATGTTTACAAGAATCAACATGACCTAAGGGAATATGGTTTTGCCGTGTGTGTTGCTTATTTAATAATTTATAACAGCCAAACTTTTGACACAACACTAAAGTGGAACCACCAACATAGATGGATATAAATATTTATTTTGTTATTGCAAAATCGTAAGTAAAACTATTGATGAATCTGAGAATTTAAGAAAAAATGTACTTAGGATCAGTTAAGTGTTGAAGAACTTATTATTTTTTAAGCCATATTCGAGAAACGCTTATTTAACTAGTATGCATTCTTCCTCAAAAAGATATGAAGAAATCGATCTGAACAGTTTTGTGAGAAATAATTTTTCAAATGCAAAGAATCAAATCAAAACTTGGACCTCCCGGCTGTACACTAGTATACTAGTAAGAAACACCAGTTTCTTACTCAGCTATTCAGCAAACTCAGGCGGAAATGTTTTTAGACTATTTTAATCGAAAAATAGAATTCACTTGCTTGTGTGAGCAAGAAACTGTGTATGTATGTATTGTGCTAGAAGACGATTTTCGGTCCGAAATCAATTTTCACCTTGGAAATTAATTTTATGAATGTATTGGTCAATTTCGTTGTAATACGATCTAATAAAATATTATTTAAAAGGTTGACGCCGGTACTATTATTTTAGTTGTTTAGTTTTCTAACTATTGCTTTTCGACATATTTTGCTCGTTTACTATGTACATGTATATATTATATATGTATATACATATATTTATGTTCAGTCGTCAATTATTTAAATATTTTTTAACATGTAGGAATTGCCACTCAAGTTTTCATTTATGGGATAGAATGCAGTCCACTTGCAATGCTTAAAAAGTAAAACTTATACAAGTTTGTTTAAAAAATCGATTTTATGCACATAACATTCATTATTTGAGTGAAAACATAATCAGAAATCGCTACTTTCATTTGTACATTGCTTTGTACATGCATTGCTCTACAATAATTTTTTTTTTTATACTTTGTTATTTTGTATTAGTTTTTAAAATAATTTCAAAAACTTTAGTTTTAGACATTTACAAAATATAAAAAAAAGTAAAAAAATATCACAACATTTTTCAAAAGTGTGGCCGTAGCAGTTTTGTGCGGTTTGTGGGCGTTAGAGTGGTGAGGGCAACATTTAGAAATAAATTTGCGCTGCGTCTATGTCTCTGGAAGCTGCATGCTTAATCTCAACATTCTAGCTTTTGTAGTTCCTGAGATAGAGGCGTTCATACGGACATGTCCAAATTGACTCGGCTGTTGATCCAGATCAAGAGTATATTATATATACATTATACGGTCCGAAACGTTTCCTTTTTCCTTTTACATATTTTTGAACGAATCTAGTATAAACTAGTATAGTAAAGGGTATAAAAACAGATATTGACTTTAGTTTTCCAAAGTCCGAATCTATCGAGTATGTTTTCTCATGTAATATATGAAAACTTCTGATGGAGCTATTAAATGATCACTTTCTTTTAAAATCAAAGATCTGCATTTATCGTAACTGGATCCCTTAGCTATATCTACAACAAAACACCTACTCGAATTTAATTCAATGGGTACATCATAAATACAAATATGCAACCTGTTAATTGAAAAATTGAATTCTTGTGGCAGGACAAGCGGACATTGGCTCTGGAAATTCGAGAAAGCCTGGAGCCAGCTCTAAAGCCAACACAAATAAATCATGTGCAAAAAATTCGTATGGCGTTACGCCTCTTGTTATTCCAATGTATTTCCTTTAACTGGGTAAACCTTACTTTTATTGAAAACAAATTGTCCGGAGATAATTTTTGTATTTGTCCCATCAAATCTTTTGTAGTGTAAATTGGCGCAGCTTACGCGCAGTTTCATAGCCTTCTTCGGTCTTTGAGATGGTTTTAGATATTAAAGCTATTGGTATACCGGCTTGAGAGAGGACTCCCCAATTGCGTGGTCAGAAGCGTTAGTAGTATGTGTCAATTCATTATGCAAATCGGGATACAGTAGAATTACATCATTAGAAATTAAGGTATTTTTTAGCTGGTCAAACGGTTTTAGAGCTTTATCATCAGTTGCATCAAAATTTTGGGACGCGGCCCTTTTGATATGCGTCCATCCTCCCCTCTCAGCAGTGCTGTGAGTGGCAGGGCGATTGCAGCATATGCCCTTATGAACCTTCTAAAGTACCCTAATAACCATAAAAAGGACTTTAATATCTTAAGTGTCTTGAGACGTGGGTAATTGGCTATGGCTTTTACTTTATCAGGATTTATCTCTATGCCCTTATCTGATGTGACAATCCCAATTAATTTTACCTTCGTTCTAAAGAAATTACACTTATCTAGTAAGCATTTGATATTAGCGGAATAACGGAATTGTAAAGTCGTACTTTCCATTATTAATGAAGAATACAGTTTTTTCTATATTCATTCTTTTAGCAAAATGAAAAGAAGTCTGTTATTGCCTGTTAATTGTGCAATCGCAATTCTATTTTTTTTTTTATGTTTGGGGCATCTAACCACACCACACCGGTGACTTGTACGAGGTTTAAGATGGGCGTATAATGCCATTCACATTCTTCTACTTGTCTGTTAGCTTCGTCTTTCTAGAACACGGAGTATTGGTAACATTTTGAATAGATGGGAGTGCCACTGTTTGTGCGAATTTCTGCTTTAACGTTGGTAGTACACATAGGTACATTTTTTTATTGGGTTCAGCAAAGAGTTAAGGGTATATTTTTAAATAATTAAGTTAGTTCTCACTTTATAATATTAACTTGCACAAACTTTTTTGTATTGGGATAATTTACCACCTTTTAAAAATATTAATTTTTTTACAGATGTGAATTACGGCGCTTAATTCTTTTAGATTTTCTCTTCCCAGCATTGCATCAAATGTTTTAAGTGAGGGTAATAGAAACAATTTCGCTGTTGAATATTGTTCGTCAAAAGGGATAGCTAGTTTGTTGTGGGTATTTGAATTTTGCTCTCACAGCCACAGGGACATGTAATTTCCGTTTGATCCGGTATATATAGTATTAGGATTTTTTAAATTTTCCCGCTCTTTATCCTACACTCGATTTATTAAAGACAGAAATCAGTTACTTAAAAAAATGTTGGGCGGTGTAGTCGTAATTGTATTCATTATTATTCGAGTCTACTACCTGGTAATTATACCCGGCACTCGTCGAGTAAAAAGGTATACTAGATTCGTTGAAAAGTATGTAACAGGCAGAACGAAACGTTTCCGACCATATAAAGCATATATATTCTGGATCAGGATCAACAGCCGAGTCGTCCTGGCCATGCCGTCTATCTGTGCGTGTGCGTATTAACGCCTCGATCTCAGGAATTACAAAAGCTAGAGTGATGAGCTTAAGCATGCAGCTTCAAGATATATGGACGCAGCGGAAGCTTCCACGCCCACTCTAACGGCCACAAACCGCTAAAAACGCCCACACTATTGAAAAATGTGATATTTTTTCGCTTTTTTATATATCTTGTAAGCTTCTATAGATGTTCCAAAAAACTTTTTCCTACGCCCCTTCTAACGAACACAAAGCATTCTGTCTTGTTTTTAGTTAAAACCTGCTAGAAGGCTTGATTTCCTAACTTTAAGCAAATATTTAGAGCAGAGGGTATGTCTGTGGGTTCCTTCATTCCCAATAATCGTGATAAGAGTCCACATAGTAATCTAACAAAGATATCGAGAGCTTTATCCCTATACAGTTTAGTTATAAGCAGTTCCGACTGTATAATTATGTCCATATTACTTCTTCTATTTAGGATTATCTAGGGGTGCTCGTAAACGGTTTGGTGCATGTCCTATACGGACTGATTAAGAGCCTTTGAAATTTTAGTCATTTGGTAATCTAGAGTATCCAGATCGCTTTTATCTTGCAGCTGCAGTGGGGAGTCAACTAGATTTAAGTTTGAAGCTATGTTTTAAAGATCTAGCCTTTTCATTCAGATAATGACAATATTAATACAGCGGCAGTCGCTTGACTATCAGGGCATAACTTTCTAACTCGAATATCCGCCGGCTCATTGCATCTACAGAAAATCCTTTGTTTTTGGTGTGTGGGCCTGCTTTCTCCTTTTATTCTTTCACAGAAACCGCCAAATATGGTGACAACCATAGGAATGCTGTTATCATTAATTCTTTAAAAAGAATATTAATTGTAAATGGAAGTGCTTTTGAGTAAAGTATACTCTTATTAAAGTATTCAAGTATATATAATATAAAGTATTAAAGTATTCTTCTTATTATTTGTTCCGTTATTAATTACTATTCTACATGTAAAAAAAAGTTTCCATTTGCTTTTTTTTATTTTCCTTTGCTAATTTTTATCGATATTACCTGCATGATAGAGAGTCGAGAAACTGGAAAATAGCGATCACTCTTGTTTATATTTTATATTTTATAATGTTTCTTGCCTTCTTTAATCGATATTCAACCGATATTAAAAACGCAGAAAAATTACCTTTACAATACATTTCTATTGTGTTTCATATTTTAATGCTTGCAATAAAAACCATTAAAATTTGTACTGGTTTAACTAAGTTGAATAAAAATACATTGAAGTGCACGCTCACTCTAAAAACGCAAGTCACTTTACAATTGCACTTTGTAGAAAAAACGAGGGCTCATTTTAAAAGTTGAACAACGAATTAACCGGAACTGTAACTAATTATATAAAAACGGGGGTTCAAGGGAGATTAAGACAGCAAGGAAAATTAACAAAGCGCTTACTTAATATAATATTACCGTGATAGCTCTTATAGTGGAGAGTGTCAGGGAAGAGTAAGGTGGGGATATTGAGCTCTTTCAATTTTTCAACGGATATATAAACAACAGAATTAATGTACTTAACTTACAGATACATACAAAAATTACTTCAAAGCTAGCGGTGTCGAACT